GTTAGGTGTTGTCAGGCATGGCTTCGAGAAGGCCGTACGCAAAGAGCAAGGAGCACTGGACGCAGCCGTAGAACATCAGACCGTGAAGATCGCCGCCTAAGATTATTGGCCTTAAGGGACCGTTTCTCCACTACCAGGTCCACTGCAAATGAATGGTTTGCAGAACACGGAAGACCTATTGGCATGCGAAGTGTTTACCGACGAATGAGATGTTTTGGCTTGTTTTCATACCGGCCACACTGGGTCCTCCCTTTAACTCGAGAACACCGACGTAATCGCCTTGAGTGGTGCAGACAACGGTCACTCTGGGATCAGGAATGGAACAGTATTGTCTTTAGTGACGAGTCTCGATTTTGTTTGAGTTTACAGTTTTATCGTTCTTTTATTCACTGTCCGATGAAAAAATTGTTTTGTGGAATACGTATTATTTTCTATGTAACCTGTCACGAAATCTTTGCGTTACGTTGCGTATTTATACTCGTAATCTACTCGTATTTATATTACAAACATCATCAGTTAATATCAATACGACTTGAATTTTCAAGTACTTTACGTAAAAACTACATTGCTAATATCTAATGCTTGACTTGATCTCTGATAATGCATGACTCAGCAAATAATCCAAACGCTGCTCAACTTTGGAGACGTACATTATGAAGGTCCGCGGTATCATTTTATAAAGCATTGTTTTCGGTAAAAACGGCAAATTAATTTTGAAATACCAACATAACGACCGCGCATCAAAATAACGCGGCGAATTTACGACCCGTACGCAATTACATCGGACGTAATGTCATCTTTACTCTCTTGCTGTGCTCTAATCTTCTCGTCATTTCCAAAAATGATGTTCGCCCGTCTCCGCTTACGCGACACATACGCGTTTTTGTCGAGCTGCGAGAAGATTGCCGTTGTTCATACATTCCTTTTGATCGTATACATTTAACCCGTGAATCATTATCGTAGTAATATAAGATAAAGAATGCACACGTCGTATGGTAAAAAAAATAACAGACTTTATTGCAGGAACGAAGAGTGGTTACAAGTATTGAACAAAATCTGTCTGTGCCTCGATATAATTCTAATCTTTATAGGAAAAATAACGAAGCTGTATCGAAAAAAAAAAGAAGTAAAAAAGCAAATATTTCTTACTGGGCTTGCTTGCCATACAATTCAATTTGTTGGAATAATGGGCTTGTACCACATAGTTATGTTACCAACAGGATTCCATAACTTATATAATCTTTTTCTTTTTTTCGGAGAATCTATTTTTTTACAGCGCTGCCAGCACATTCACCATATTTTAGAAATATTAGGGATGGACGACCGTAAGTCGGTTGATTCCTTATATAGAGTAAATATGTAAATCTTAAATTGACTTTATGTCATTTTGACAAAAGAATGAAAATAAATAATCTGGGCATGAACGCAAAGCACATCGATATTATACAATTTCATATCGTATTAGGAAAACTGGGTTACATTCACCATTTTTTTAAAGAAATAAGGGTAGACATTCTAATTTCAGTAAGTCTAACAATGTACCAACCACATAATCATACAGTCAATGTCAGACTGATAAGTGCAGAAGTTTTTTTCGAGATATTCAGTTTTTTACAAAAAGTTGGTCGGGTTTTGATTGATGATTCTTCGTTAGATGAAGAAACCAAATGTGTCATATTTGTAAACTTTGCAGTCTAATACAACAGAAACAGGTCCTCCGCACTTGAGGAATATAAGAGGAATTCTTAGTCTAGCAATTCATAATCGTTACCCGGAACTTGTACCAAAATCGATAGTATCTATATATCGCTATTATTATAAAAATCAGTTGAACATCGCTAACAGATTGTTACGTAAATAAGGCAAATAATAAACAAAAGGCAACGTATGAAATGATTAACAAAGCGTATAGAAAAGATAAACAAAAATCATGCAATCTGAATCTGCACACAAAATAATAAAAGGCTTGGTAAACACAAACATCCATCCCTATCTAATTAATTAACATTTACAATGAAAGAAACATCATTTAACAAAGTAGTAACTGTCATAGACAACCTGAAAAGTACATAAAATGATTAAAAACAAAGTTATTATACCATTTACTAAGCTAAAATAGCTAAGATCGCACCAATCCGCAAACCGGGGGCCAGTGGATGGAACGTCTAATTACCATTGTTAGCGATTTTAGCAAAAATAATCAAATCTGTCATGAACAAGTAAACCATCTCGTTTTTTTAAACAAATAGTCTTTTTTCTGGCAGTCAATGTGGATTTCGGTCAACAAGAGCTGAAACCTTTGAAGGGGCTTCGACGAAGGTAAAATAACTACAGTATATTCAGATAAGAGATAGACCGGATGTAAACAAAAGGTTCGGGTGATTTTCACGCTAACGCCGCCGTCTCGACGTAAAACAGGAGCCCTCATTGGTCAATTCGCAATTAAATGCCTATGCCGAGCGGCAGAGCAGTCGTATCAAGGCAGAGTCACATTCAGGTTCAGACGTGTTACGTATGTCGTGTGCATCATTGCAATTTGATATTTCTTTGGACGTTTTCGTTTGTTATCTTATTAAGTTGTTGAGTTTGTCGTTGTTATTGTTATACCTTGTTATTGATTGTTATTGTTATCAACTGCTTGCGCAAAATGCCCAGTAGTACAGATACTGCCGATGAAGTTGTAAACTCCTGTAGTCCACCTAGGAAACGCTCTAAAAAAAGACACCCGAGTGCAAAAATGAAAGAGGTCATTTTGAATATATATATAAGATCGAGAGCGAGGAGAACGAGGCATCAACCATCAAAAAAATTGTTGTGAAGGTTTCTTACAAAGTTGGGGTGTGTCGCGCATCAGTGTTTAATGTGTTAAGATAATACAAAAAAAACCACACCTTTTCTGAGCCAATGACCAGTAAACATCGCAAAAGTATTGTTAAATCATTGGATGAAGCTGATAAGCATGCGGCATCCGAAGCTGGAAATCGAAGCGAACATTTTGAAACCCTTATGTATATTTACATCATTATATATTTCTTACCCCACCCCCACATGATCCTATATCCATCACCAATCGTATACACATCGAATTGTGCTAATTTACTACAAAGTTACGCAAAGCAGCATCTACTATCTAAAATATGTACTGTGTGACTCTTAATACGTCCCTGCCGAATGTTACAGCGTTCGATGATCACGTGGTCTTGTTTATGTGCGGTCTATCTCTTATCTGAATATACTGTAATGCAGTTTTCTAGGACTTGACCAAAGCTTTTGACTGCTTGTCACATGAAAATTCAATACAAAAGATGACTACTCATACCTCCTATGCAAATTGCATTAAACTTTAGTGATATATATCAGTATGCTTCCTGCAATGAGTAACATTTAAATAAACAGTTGATAAGGTATGGAGTGCTTCAGGGCTCTGTACTTGGGCCAACACTATCTTTGCTGTACATCAATGACTTACAGAATTGTGATTCTATCTCTGAGTTTTTACTATTTCCTGACGGCGCCAATTTGAAACAACTTCCGAACTAATTCGTCATGTGATCGAACAAGGTTCATAGTGTCAAACCAAATCAGTTGAAAACTCAACAAATAAATTTTAACCTTAAACACTGACAAGTGTCATCCCCGAGCCAAACCTATCCGCGAACAATATTTCGCCCTCTCTCCTAAATCAATACTAGCAATCAATCTTTCTAGTTGTTCCAGCCGTTCGTTTTGAATAACTGACTTCCCGGAGAGTGATTCCGAATTCTGACAGCTGTTGACATTTATCACACGAGTTTTCAAAATAATACGTTCCTGGTTCTTCATATTATTAGTTTTGTCTAGAGATGGAGACGCATCTTTTCTCCCGAGAATATTACCCAAGAAGCGACTTTTAAAAGTACCCCCCCCCCGTCATGTAAGAGAACCACGCCCACTTTTTCTTAATCATTCTACTTCGTCATTTCAAGATTTGGTGGTTGAAATACTTCAATTCAGTCCGGTATTATATTGTAGGCTCTCAACTGAGACTCTTTTGAAAGCAGACAGGTTAGCGGTACCCTTTCAGAAACAAACCGTCTTGATGCCGATTGGTCAATTATCGGAACACATACATCTTTTTACTTGAGATACTTCCGCCATATTGAGAATACCGGATCAGAAGCTCTTGCTATATGATGGCTGGTTGCTTTCAGAAGCGTGCCAGCTGGGTGCCCAAAAAATAATACTGTTGTTTAGAATTTGTTTGGCGTTATGTTAGTAACATGCAAACAACAAGTCTAAAATGAACTCCAGTTTGGCAGATAATTTGTCGCAAATCAAGGGGTCCTGCTTATCGCGTCGACTCGAGGTTCGAATCCTCGCCTCGGAAGGTAATCTAGCTCTTCCCAATGGGCTTTGCTCCTCCATGATGCCTGACTTCAGCCTCGCTTCCTAACCGTTTCGAATTGTATACCTCCGGAACTGGCCGATACGACCGTTCCTTTGTCACCAGGGTATCGAGATTGTGGAACGATCTACATGAGGAGGCTTCCCCAGTTCTAGTAACCTTTGGCAGTTCAAAAATCGGACTAACAAAGCTTTTTTTAACCTCCTCAAAGCAGCAGCGGCGCCCCGGCATTTAGGATTCCCTATTAATGGTGGTATATGGATGCCTGAGGAGCTTCCTGTTTAGCAGGTGATTCGGTGTAAAAAACTGAAATGTACGAAGACACCAAGTGTCTCATTGACTGGTCTTCCTAACGCAACAAGTGCTATCCACGAGCCGACAAAACTCTGCCGCTCACATGTGCGCCCGGCACCCACCGTCCAGCCGCGGCGTCGGCGGCCTCGATCCCAGTGTGCCTTGGCAGCTGTTTCGCCCTTGCCATGCGTCTCACGTCGATCGGCACGCGTCCAGCCCTCCGCGTCTGCGCGCGCACCCGCGAAGTGGAGGGGATCGCGCTCGAACGGACGCATCGCTCAAAACCCTACGCGCTCAGCGCCTCACGTCATTCCGACTGCGTATTCCGTCGCGGCTCTATCGCTCTCTAAATGGCGCTCACCATGACCCTCGGCCAGAACAAGATGTACAACGTGATCCAGCATTCAGCTCCTCAAGCGAACTGCGTCATCGTGACCCAGCAAACTTCCGGCAAGAGACCGCTAGCTCCGGCTCCCGAAAGGACCTCGGTGCTGGTGGCGAACAACAGTGACCTCAGGTGCAAGAGGAAGATACAGTTCTCGCCGTACGGTGCTCCGCCCCAGCAACCCGCTTCGGTGGCTAGAAGAAACGCCCGTGAACGAAACCGTGTGAAGCAGGTGAATAACGGTTTCGCGACGCTCAGGTCTCACATCCCGCCAAGTGTGGCTCAAACTTTGTCGCCGAGCAGTTCCGCGCAAGGGAGAGGCGCCTCCAAGAAGCTCAGCAAAGTGGAGACGTTGCGGCTAGCCGTCGAGTACATCCGGTCTTTGCAGCAAATGATCGAAGACTACGAATCTGACGTGCAAACTTCGAACCCAGCGCACGCCAGTACCAGTGACATCAAGTATTACTCCGCAAACACAGACTCGAACATCTACCAAGGTTCATATCCGGTTCTCTTACCTACGCCCGCATGCTCAGAAGCGTCAGTGTCTCCGACGCCGTCGCATAGTTCAGAAGGATCTTTCTCCACCCAGAGCTATACTGGAGCTCTGTACCATCACGCGGAAAACTACGAGAACTACGATCCGAAAAGTCCTGACGATGACGAGGAACTGCTCGACGCTATCTTCAGTTGGCAGCAAGAATAACGCGCCTCTTGAGGTTAGTAACGATTTATTTTTTCCCTCAAATGTTTAGCGAGGCTTGTCTGTAATTGTTTCAATAATAGCCTGACAGAAACCGTCATGGATGCAAGTCGTAAACTCGCATTTTATTTAGTAATTATTTGTCGAAGAAAAATCTAAAACAGTACGATTCTGTGTTTCTAATACGATCAGTTTCATATCCTCTTTTGTTCTCGTCCCAATTTCCTGTGGTTTTTTTCTTCATGCAAAATCAACTATTTGACAAAAGTTTCGATATTCACCATGAAAAGTTTCCAATCTATAGTTATTTATCTACTTCAATATTGTCCTCTGAATATTTCTGGTATTTCTATGTGCACTGCAAAAGTTCGAAGTTACTTTTTTGTTTACAAATTGCTTCCCTAACTACCATATTAATTAAGTGTTCCAATAAAGGTTTTTCTTTCTTCACAGATTTAAGCTCTTATTGTGGATAGTTCAGTTTAAATTCAACAAAAATTATGAGGAATAGCTCATAAATTTTCTTTTTAATAACCTAAACAATAACCTTTAAACTGGCATATCAGAATTGGTTGCAAAGTTACTTATACTTGTTCTTTGTCAAACATCAAACTATATGTTCTGATAAAATTAACGTTAAACGTCTCGTGTCCTTTTTAAATAATGTAATTAATATCTCTGTTAAAATATCATAAACCAAAACTGGGCTTCTTAATTTTAAAGCTCTTAACAGCGCGTGTAAAATTAAAACATTTCACAAAGCGACACTTCAACTCTTGTCATTTTAATGTTGTAATAAATTAAAGCGAATTCAAAAATTTCTATCAGTCTCATAAAAATCTCAGCGTGCCGGCGCTTCTTCGGGATGAACTTTGCCGTTTTATACCTGTTTTAAATCTATATATCTACCTGAACGATACCTCGTTAGTTCAGTTGAATTTTGGTTGTGCAACAGACTAGAATTGTCTGCTTTGTAGATAAACCGTTTCTTTACGTTGTTAGCATATGTTGAGACATGCCAACATACTTTTGTATCAATCATTTAACTTTGAGTCTCATACAACTCAGTCCACATTTTTTTATCATTAGTGATTCTATAAAAAAAACGAAGCTTTTTTGAGTCAAAAATGTATAAATTTTAAATTTATTTTTTGAAAATACCACATTTCGGGAAAAAGACTGTAGCATGTATAGCACTTCTTCCATTTGATTAAATACTTGAAAATAAGCTATGCCTAAAATATATATTATAGGGTACTGTTTGAACTTCAGCTTGGACACTTGACAACCTCAAAGAGATTAATTTTGAACCACGTTTTTAAGCTTTGAAAATGCCCATTTTGAGACCTTAAATCACTTATAAATCGAGATAAACTACATGGCACTTTTTTACTCAGAATGATCTAGAAGAACCTAAGAAAACTTTTTAACGTTGTTTTGATTTTATAAACGCGTAAATCCAGCTGATAAAGGTAGGTTTTTGCGAATTTTCCGTTTCGTTATTTAAATAGAAATTCCTGATCTAATAAGACCGTACTATAGCAAAGTCGTAAGTCCCCGTCTCAGCCCGTTATAGTATGCCTATTTCCTACCCTAAAGCAAGTTCGCTCACCGTTTTTGTACCTTGAACCTTTTCAAGTTGCCTGACAGGGGTCTTTAAACACATACCAGTTCCTTTAAGAAATAATACCTACACACAAAATCTCATCGAACAATACTGTCTGAGAAACACATTGAAAAAATCCAAGCACCGAACTGTGAAAGCTTTGGATTTTGCTCGGCGAGCTTTTTCTAAAGGGAGAGAGAGAGAGACGGCGGGATTTGGACAGAAACTGTTGCATTTTTTACCTGTCCGATGTTGCAAGTTTGACCTGTTCCGCATAGAAGAATCGTTCGATCAGCTGTGGCGTGTTCTTATGCATTGTAAATAGGATCTTGATCACACAACGTCAACGTGGTTATTCCCCATGGATCGGTCTATTCATGATCTGTTATTTACATCAGAACAAAAATCTGAATATAGATTCTTTCAAACAAATTACAAAGAACTATTTTTTCTGTCCATTTTTTGGATCATTCTGAACCAAAGAGATCGGTAGCTATTGTTTGACATTTCCAATGCTTTAAAACTCGATTGAAAATTTCTGTGTCTCAAATAAAGCTCATGTCTTCCCTGTAAGTCTTCGTATAACATTTTAGACTAGATATTTTAACGAAGTGCTGTTTAATTGTTAATAACAGGCTATGAACCTAAAGTCAGAGTCCTGTAGGAGAATTTTGAATTTTAATTTAGACACTTTAGGCACATTTCTGAAGAAAGGGCCATTTTTAGGGCTTTCCTGACAGTAAATCGCTTACAACTCAAAAACGACCAACTTTAAAAAAAAGCGCTTAACGCTTAATCTAACAAACTGGATAATCATAAAGATGCATGTTCTTGATATCGTTCGACATACTTTTACTTTGAATAACGACTATCGATGCTAACGTTGTTTTTTTTTCTGTTTCAGGACTCTCCAGGCCAGTTAGCGATTCTAATCAAAAAAACAATTGCCTCAAATTTGAAAACCGATGTGCCTTTCCATTCCTCGGAGTGATATTTTAAATATCTACAGAGTTTATCACTGTTTTTCTAGTCACTGTTTTTTGTATATATAGATATGTATGTATTGTTATAGTAATAATTATTCTAAGGTTCTTTCGTCAAGGTTCTGACTAAGTTTTTGGGCCTTCGTGTTCTGTGAAGATTCTGCAACGCATACAAATACCTTTAAAAATGTCATGACATCATCTGTGGTATCTCGCTTGCCAAAATACGATACGCTTACTTGCTGTTAAGGTATTTTATCCGATAATATTAAGATATGCATAAGTCGATGCCTAAGTGTTAGCGGAATTTTCGCGGAATACGAACATTTTTGAAACCATTTTGAGCTTTGCATATAAGGAATGATCACGTTGAAGTACAATTGCTGACAAAAATTTGCGAATGGATTGAGACGCATTTAATCAGTAATAATTATAAGTATTTTACACGTAGATAAGTATAATTTTATTCTACGAACGAGTCTGGAATAGGTACTTCAATCTGGTGGTATCTTCTATGATGGTCGAAAATGCTGAAATTAAATGCAATATAAATATTTGAAATCGTTTGGCAATAAACAAAAAGCTCCCAGGTTCCAAAACTGGAATTAAGATAAGTATAGACGTGAATCGTATGTTCAAAAGCCATGTATTTGACGAGACTAGGAGAATCTCACTACTACGCCGTTTGGTTTATATGAAATGTATATTTTTTTCAAAATACACTGTCGAAGGCTGTTATGAACATTAAAAAAGACTGCATAAAATACGTTCAGAATCACCGACATTCTGGTACTTCCATTTCGATGAATAATTCCAACCGTTTTTGTATTACAGAAACGTATTAACTTTAAGAAAAATAACATGATCTTGCTCTCTATCTAACGATGGTTTAGACACCTTGTTACAACGTACTGACTTGTATATATTTTCTAAGTTAAGTAATGTTATTTGATACGTGTACGATGTTCCAATTTTTTTTTTGTAATGACATACAATTATTTTTGATATCCGTGTATATCGAAAAGCTACTTCGAAAAGAAATAAAAGACATTTTTAAGACTCTTGGCCCTTCATTAATATCCCTTCCGCCCGTTGATGGTATCTCAGCGGCAGCTGAAACGGATAATAGCGCCAGGGGCGTAGGCGATTAAGGATCTTAAGGGACAAAACAAAATCGTATTAAAAATCAATCTTAGATGAAATAACGATTTTAGTTTAATTCTTGGTATCATCGTTTCTCTATAGCTCTATATGTTCTTATGCAAAACAGACCAGAAACAACTATGTTCTGTCTTTCCTAGCTACCACCGCTCTATAATTTTTTATTGAAAAATATGGAATGAATATAACAGACAAATTTACTCCTGACTCAAAGGGCAAATCAAGCTCCTTCTCGCCCCTCCTAGTTCCGTCCCTGAGTGACGCAGCGAGCCGCAAAGGAGGATAAATATCAACTAGACAAGGTGTTCTGTGTTTTGGCGCGTGTCTGGAAAAACACCTGCCGGTCGGTGAACAGTTGAACACATGTCCGGTAATTCTCGTTTATTTATGCATCACAATTAACGACGTTTGGTGGCTTTGAGCTTGAATTAAGAGGGGGAATTAGTGGGTAATAGCTGACATTTGGAATATATTACCGGGTTACCTATTTGGATCTAGAGCAGGATGTTTTACGAATATAGTTTTTGATGCCTGAGTTCTTACAATTGCATATTTTCCATTTTTTTTTCGATGGATTACTCTAGGCATTTTGAGCAATCACAAAAAGGCTTCTGAAATTTAACATTCAACTGACACCGTAAATGTACGAAAACTGATCAAACAACACACGCAGACACCACAAAAACTGATCTTGACCACTTTTGAAAATTTTTTAGGGGTAAATAAAGGATTCCTGGTGCTTGAAAAAAATGTGGGAACCCGACCTTCAAAACAACCCCGTACATAAACATACTTTCAATTTTCAATCTCATCTTCGGAATCAGTTCACTCTTGATCTTCTTATAGGACGTTATACACTGTCATTTGTTGTCAATCGATCGATATAGCAGAAGGTGTCCGGAATATAAAGTACGTATGATTACACGAATGGATGTCCGAAGGTGTGGATCACGTACTCATGATTATATGGATGGCTGCGTCCAGGCTTATTGATAAATTAACTCGGCAAATAAGGAATAACCGATCAGAAAATGTACACAGGAACATGAGGTTGTTCACACGTACCTGTCGCTCGAAAAGGATAATCTGGCAATATTTTATACGTAATGTTACGATGAAAAGTGACAGGATGTCATCATCTGTGAAAAGTAATAATTGATTACTGTGATCGTGCTTTGAGAATATCGCAGTCCACTGCTTCAAAATGAGACGCTACTCGCACCCCATTATTAATCTTTAGCATAGTTTGTCAA